TGCAGCAGCTGGTAGGGGATGGGGACATGTGGGGCAGCAATCAGGGGGCCAGGTGGGGCATGTGGGCCTTGCAGGGGGGGTGGGAGCCCCTGTGGGGGCCATTTGGTCCCTGTTGGGGGGGGCGTACCCCTTGTGTGGGGGGTGAACCCCTGTTGGGGGCCTGTAACCCTTGTGAGAAGGTTGAACCCCCTGTTGGGGGGCCATACCCCTTGTAAGCATGCAAACCCCCCTGTTGTGGGGCCGAACCCCTTGTTTGGGGGTTGAACCCCCTGTTGGGGGGCCGAATCCCCTGTTGGGGGTATACCCCTTGTGTGGGGGCCATTGCCCTGTGGGAGTGCAGCAAAACATGTATTCATGAATTCATGAAACATGTATTACAGTTCACTTTATTATTATGATAAGAGACTTGCTTTAACACTATAGATATATCAATAAAACATTGTCCAACTGATCACTGTCTCTTTTTGGCTCTCTGTCTTTATAGTGGTCTTTTGTTTTACTTGTGGAGGAACATGGATTTGCGGGTATTTTACAGAGTGACTTTGGGATTTTTTTTATCAGGGATTTTTCAATTTTCCAATAGGGGGAGGGGCAGATGCCTCTACTGGCTGTGCAGTCCTCCAGGTCTGGCAGGTGCACAGCAAGTCACAGCCAGGCAGCAGCCCCCACCACCAGACTGCTGCAGTGGGTAAAGGGTGCAGGGAACTCTCAGGGCTGCTGCAGCAGTCCAGCTGGCACAAGGGGTAGTGTCCCCAGGTACCAATTGGCTGGGCCCCAGAAGCTTCTGAGAGCTAGTAGCCCTGAGCTACTTGCCAGGGCGACTTTTTATACTGCTGGGGCCAGGACAGGGTAGCTTTTTATACTGCTGGGGACAGCACAGGTGCTGGCCCTGGGCTCTAGCTCCCCCTGGCTGAAGATCTGGGAGGAGCCAGGCAGGGTTATTTTGCCCCAAGTGGCATAATTTGCTCCACAACAAAGTGCATGTCCAAGCATATGCGCTGAAGCAAAAAGCCCCAGCTCACATTTGCACCACTTCTATTTGAGCTGCTGCAAGCACATGTGCTTGCATGTGTGGACGTGCCCATCCAGTTCCAAGTCAAATACAAATCTTCTTTATTTGAGGGAACCTCCTACTAGAGTCAGCAGTCAAATACATATGCACTGACCCTATCCCAATGAAATTCATGTAAGGAATATTCTTCATCTCAGTTCAATATTTGGTCTATAAATACTTTTGTCTACTTGATTTGGATCACATACTTTAACCCAAGCTCCGGTGAGTACTCATCTGGTTATTCTGGGGTGGGTTATTCTGTCTTGTGCTGAGCAGAAATTCCCCTGCAGACATGAGCACCCTTGATAGACAAAACTTTCATCAAGCCCAGTAAATTCCTGTGAACAGCTTTCAAATAATTATTTTCCATCCCTAAAAATGAGGAAAAAATAGAAGTAAAAGTGAAAACAGGAGACTTTATTGAGAGAGGAGATAATATTAAAAAGTAGTCTGTAATATGAAATGTTTAAGAATTGTGAAACTAAGTGATATTCTGACTGGTATTTCATATGGCTTTTCAGCTAGGTTTTGTGATTCTAAGTGCTCTTACTTTTTTCTTTTTAGAAGATGGCTATTTTCTTTTTAATTGATCTTTGCAGAGATGAATCACATCAGATCTTCTTGTGCCATAAAGTCATAAAATAATACAGCCCACAAGTGCTAATTGAGTAGACACGAAAAGGTGAGTCTCCTCTGAACTAATCTGTCCCCGAGTTACTTGTCCTCATCCTCCAATATTTGCTTCCTGAAAATGTATTTTTTCCTGATGCTCACAGATGTCAATAGCATTAAGTGTGTGTAGGAAAGGCTGTGCATCTGTTGACATCATTCCTTTGACATCTGAAGGTGAAAATCCCTGCTAGCATTGCTTCCTATTATCTCATTTTTCTTATTGGTTACTCTGAACTGATAACCCCTTCTGCACCTCACCTGGAGGTTCTGGGAGTGGCCTTGCCAAATACAGATCTTTTTTAATTCAAGGGATCCTCCTACTAGAGTCAGCAGTCAAATACATATGCACTGGTCCTATCAAAGGGACATTCACAGAAGGAATATTCTTCATCTCAGTTCAATATTTAGTTTATAAATACTTTTGCCTATCCAGCCTGAGCTTTTGGGGAACACATTTTCCTTTCCTTCATGTATATTTCAGGGTAAATTTGCATTAGCAGCAGTTCACCATATAGCCTCTCTGCAAAATGCAGTAACAATCATTAAGATTCCAAGACTGAAGCAAAAAAAAAAATGCATGTGTTGACAGGTGGATAAAATCTGACAGTGCAACATTACTGGTCTGAAACATATGCTGCTGAGAGAAGCAGGGAAAGTGGGAAATTTATCTTTAAGTAGCTCCTAACCTAGAATTTCTCAAGGGAGAATCATAGTCTCTTTAAAACTGAGATTGTGAGCATATCTTTAGAGTTGTAGTGTGAGAGCATCTGTAAATTATTCAGCATGTGTTCCAAACTTTTCTTCAGAAGCCTTCTTCATCGTCTGAAGCACTTGTGTTTATTTTTGCATCTGTTTGTGCTCTATTGAAAGACACCTCAGAGACTTTGCACATATATTCATTATGTACCACATTTAATTCTCCTTTGGAAAATTGCAAAGGAAAGAAATATAAAGATTAACAGCATGACTGAGATGAGAAGTTCATGGAGAACAGATTAGACTAAAAAAGAAGAGGGGAAAATACTTCATAATCTTCTCTCAACTAAATTGTCAGTATGGGGTTGTATCTTCTAACTAATGCAGAATCTATTTTTCAGCCTGGTTTTATATACAAATCTTTGCTGTGCTGCTAGTTTATCATCTGATGCTATGGACACATGAAGAACTGGAAGTAAGTACTCATATCATGACACAGTATAGTTGTGAACTGCTCAACTGCAGCCTCATTCCACTCCAGGGGTAGTTGCTAGCATTTAAGTGTTTGGTAAAACCAATTCATGTATGCAAAGATGAAGACAAGCTAATCCTCCCTGTTGAAAGGTATTGTCTGGAGATTATTAATAATATTTGCATTATTAACAATGTGATTGACTGCTGTCCTTTTTCCCAGCTCAATGGAGCTAGATCCAAAGTCTATACAAGTCAACAGAAAGAGTCCAGTTGATTAAAAGGCTGTGTGTTGGGCTCGTGCTGAACAACAAGAACAGGTACAAAGAAGAGTGTATGTGCTGGGCCTTCCCTCTGATGCATTCCAGGTTGCTTGCAAGTTATTTACTTCTTCCTTTTCTAATGTTGTCTGTATTTGTATGAGACATTTCCAAGAGAATGGAAAGTGGGTTTCCTGGGTTTGTGTTCCTGACTAATCCAGCATTCACAAACTTTAGAAAAGTCCAGTGTATGTGTGACATCTGTGTGCTTGAGGAGAATTACCACCCAAAGAAACAGCGAAGGCATTATGGGAGATTTATAAGTCTCCCAAATAAGCTGTTCTCCCCCTCTAGCATTCACATTTGGGTTTGTAAACTGTGGTTGCCTGCAGTCTCAGGGACCTGGACTCATTGGCGCTGGATATCCCTTCCCATCCTTTCGTGGCTTGTCACAACTGCTAGTCTCACCTGACTTGCAAATGTTTTTAATTTTTCTATACACATCACCTGAGATTGTGGCTTTGTTATCAGACTTACTTTGCATAGAGCTATAAATCCTCTTGCACCTCTGCTTCGTTTGTGCAGTTCTGTTACGTTGGCGGCATAGCGCTCACTTCAAACCTGGAAAGTGAAGGGATAAAATGGCACCTTCTTCCTCAACATGTTTTCTTCTCTCTATCAGTAACTAGTATGGCATTTACTAATGGCAGATGCAGCTTACTATGGTTTAGTTTAGTGCTGCAGAAGTGGTGCAACTATGGGAGCAGGAGCATTTTTATTCCATCTTATGCATCACTAGCGAATCCTGACATACACTCCCGAGGACTGTGTGAGCTGTCATAGAGGACACAACCTGAACTTGGTAGGGTTGCCTGCATATAGATCAAGGCAGAGTCTGAAGGCAACAGGGTTGTGTGGTTGTATCTAACTGAAGAATTTGGGTGAATACTTGACAGGCGATATATTAAAAGAAATTTCATAGATTTCATAGATTTCATAGACATTAGGGCTGGAAGGGACCTCGGAAGATCATCGAGTCCAGCCCCCTGCCCAAAGGGCAGGAAGTCAGCTGGGGTCATAGGATCCCAGCAAGATGAGCATCCAGTTTCATCCTGAAGGTGTTCAATGAAGACGCTTGAACCACCTCCGGTGGCAGGCTGTTCCAGACCTTGGGGGCTTGGACAGTAAAGAAATTCTTCCTTATGTCCAGCCTGAAACGATCTTGAAGTAGTTTGTGACCATTCGACCTCATCATCCCTTGGGGCGCTCTGGTGAACAAACGTTCCCCCAGATACTGGTGGTCACCCCTGATAAACTTGTAGGTGGCCATCAGATCACCCCTGAGCCTGCGCTTTTTCAGGCTAAAGAGCCCCAGGGCTCTCAGCCTGTCATCGTAGGGTCTGCTTCCCTGACCTCTGATCATGCGCGTGGCTCTTCTCTGGACTCTCTCAAGCTTCTCCACATCCTTTTTGAATTGTGGAGCCCAAAACTGGACACAGTACTCCAGCTGCGGCCTCACTAAGGCCGAGTAAATGGGGAGAATGACGTCTCGGGATTTGCTTGAGAAGCATCTATGGATGCAAGCCAGCGTTTTGGTCGCTTTACTAGCCGCCGCATCGCATTGCAGGCTCATGTTCATCTTGTGGTCAGTGATGACCCCCAAGTCTCTTTCTTCCATAGTGCTAGCCAACATAGCACTGCCGAGCCTATAAGGATGCTGCGGGTTTTTTTTCCCAAGGTGGAGAACCTTGCATTTATCGGCGTTGAACACCATCAGATTCTCGTCCGCCCACTTGCTGAGCCTGTCCAGGTCAGCCTGGATAACCTGCCTGTCTTCTGGTGTGGATGCTTTGCCCCAAAGTTTGGTGTCATCGGCGAACTTGGCCAGTTCTGATCGCTTCTGACTCCAGTGTCCACATCATTAATGAAGATGTTGAACAGTATGGGTCCAAGGACAGAGCCTTGGGGGACCCCACTGGTCACAGGACACCACGATGAGTGACTTCCATCGATTACTACCCTCTGGGTCCGACCCCGGAGCCAATTTTCCAGCCAGCGGATCGTGGAGGACCCAAGGCGACAATTGGCCAGTTTCTCCAAGAGGCGATCATGGGACACCAGATCGAAGGCTTTTTTGAAGTCAAGATATATGACATCAATCTCTTCTCCCTTGTCCAGGTGATAGGTCACCTGGTCGTAGAAGGAAATGAGATTGGTCAAGCAAGACCTACCCGCAACAAACCCGTGCTGGCTATCCCTTAAGATGTTGGTGTCGGCCAGTCCATTAAGGATGGCCTCTTTAATAAACTTTTCTAAGATCTTCCCCGGGATAGAAGTCAGGCTGATGGGCCTATAGTTAGCCGGATCCACTTTCCTCCTTTTCTTGAAGATAGGCACCACATTGGCCTTCTTCCAGTCTTCGGGCACTACACCAGAGTGCCAAGAGTTTTCAAAAATCCGTGCTAGAGGCTGGGCTATGATGATTGCGAGCTCCTTGAGTACCCTGGGGTGAAGATTGTCAGGGCCAGCTGACTTGAAGGTATCCAGCTTCTCAAGATGTTCCTTCAGAAAGTCAGCATTAAGGGAGGGCAGGGGATCACCCTCACCCGGACTTCCCGGCCCTGTAGCGGGCATGGGCGTCCCGTGGGACTGATGAAAGACTGACGCAGAGTACCTATTTAATAGGTTGGCTTTTTCCTGGGCGTCAGTTGTCAGTTGCCCCATCTGGTTCAGTAGGGGTCCAATGTTGCCCCTGCTTTTCCTCCGGCTCCCCACATATCTGAAAAAGGACTTTTATTGTCCTTGATGCTCAAAGCTAGCTGGAGTTCAGTTGTAGCCTTGGCTTTCCTGGTCTGCTCCCTACAGGACCGGACCAGTGCAGAATAATCCTCCTTGGAGGTGACTCCCATCCTCCACCCTTCACACCCCCCCCCCCCCCCCAAAAGCCCCCAAAAACCAAAACCAAAAAACAACCCATCCTTGCTGAGCTGATTTGATTTGGAAACCAATGTGGAATTCCACAGTGCCATTGTCACAGTCATTCATGTTGGCTTAAATTTCTACCACCATATCTGTCATCTAAACCCCAAGTGCCTGGATCTGATGTATTGCTACATTAAATAACACCTTTGGGCCATTGTTGTGTTGACCCAGTGCAGTGTGGGCTATGTCCTTCCTCTGTGTTCCATCAAATGTGAACAAGAATTAATTAACACTGTAACCTCTTTCCTCCCGTTTCTAACCTGTTTCTCATAAGTTTTCTGCAGTAAACTTTTCTTTTCTTAATCAAAGCAAAATTCCAGAAGGGGATTCTGCACCTCCAGCCTGAACTTTAACAACCAAAAATTAATTAAGGTCAGATTCCCAATTTACACTACCATACTTTCACAGTGCTCTGGAAGCATAAAGGAGCCTTACGTAAAGTAATTTATACTCACCTTCCTCACTGTCAGAGCTGTTTAGTGTAAGTCACACTGACCTCCCCCAGTGTTCACAATAAAGATTAAAATGCTGAGAGTGTACATCAAATTCTACCAGCAGAAACCAAGCCATAGGGCTCACTGCAGTAGAAAGTCTGCTCCAGGATATCAGAGTATTGTAGAGGAGCGAGGGACTAGCAAACTTTGCAAAGCCAACAGACAGCAGCAAGTGAATCGAGCTACAGGTGTTGTTGCACATATTGTAAACAAGCCCGGCTGGCACACATTCAGTTCTAGTTCAAGTTGCAAGAATAAATCAACATCAAATACCTTGATGTTAAAGCAGGACACGACTCAGGATGTTATTTCCCAGCTTTTTTAAAGCTTCTTCCTTCATTCTGTTTACTGCCTCAATTTGTTCCTCTCACTTCTTCCTGTTCCTGAACCCCATAGCATTTGTATGAGCCCCAAACAAGGATGCTTTGTATTCTCTTTATGCAAATAACAAGATAGATAGAGATGATGTGGCTGCTGAACACTCCTCCTAACAACTTGATGTGGAATGAGTCATCCTCAGCTGGGAAGACAGCAGTTAGGACACACCAGACTGAAATAAATGACCCTAGTAAACAGCTCTGATATCCAGCTGTCAGCCAGGGAGAGGACAGAGCATATTGGATTAAATGTCCCAAGGAGAAGATGGAGTGGTCAAGAGGAGGAAGAGTGAAGAGATACTTCTGCCAAAGAGGAACAGTTATCATGAAGCTATAACAAGACATGCCTGAGTCCTGGGCCTGTTCCTCCTCTACCAGCACGCCATGAAGCAGCTCCTACCATGTTATGGATTTTCAAAGTGGGATGGGTATGGAGAAGGACCAGGATGTTTGATGTTATGGGGAGGGATAGGAATAAGTATGTTGGGTGGTCTCAGGGAAAAGGATGGGGTATTGGTAATGGGAGATCAATTACCACAGACTTGACACTGACTTCTGAGGTTGTCTTTGGTGGTGTCAAGAGATTTATAGCTTTAGGGAAGGTAGTGATAAATAAACGGACTTCTGTGTGTAAATCAGAAATAGTGAACCTCTTGAACATCTTCCACTCATCACTAGATATGACACCTGTACTGAAATAATAGACAGTGGTAGTGGTGTTTTTGTTTTGTATACCCAAAAGCATTTTGCATTCTGGTACCTATGCCTCAGGTTGTGTCATAAACTGCCAAAAATCTAGGAGCAAATTATTCAAAGTGAAGTATGACACAACATCCTGAATTGGTCATTTTGTACCTACAGCTATAGCCAATCTCTTGACATCACACACTGAATTAAATGCCATATGTGAAGAAATACCTAGAGGTGGAATGTCATCTTCCACTCTGAAGTGTTTTAATTAGCCACTTTAATCTGCATGGTACAGCAGTTTGACCCCAAAACTTCCTCAAGGGTTTTCACCATCTATCAGAAGGAAATAGTTACATGATGCAGGAAACGATCAAAATAGTACTATAGCACCGGAGTGCAACTTGACAATCCCATAAGCATTATTTATGCCACAAATCATTGCAAAACATAGTACTGGCACAGTGATGAAGAAATTCAGGCCACCAGTGTTTTTGATCTGATGTTTTTAAGTACACCTGCTGTGTCTTTCTACTCTTTACTGTTTCCATCCAAATAGCTAGCTTCCTGATTATGCTATCATTTTTTTCCCTCTGGGGCTGGGTAAGAACAAGCTAAAATAGCTGGTGAAGTCATTTCTGTGTATACCGCTTAGTGTGATTAACAGCTGGAGAGCCCATATTGCTTAGGTCCTAATGCACTCAGGTTTCTAATACCAATATTGGAAGGAAGCTCTTAACAAAATGATGTTGAATTTGAATGTCTAACTTGGCATACTTACAGCTATGTAATCTGATAGTGTAGAAGCTGATGGCACAGTCTACTATTTCTTCTGTTGTCTCCTTTTATAATGTTCACATAATATAATTTAAAGGTTGGTCTAGATAGCTCAGTGTATGAGTAATATTTGCAATAATTTTGCTAGATTCTAGGTGCAGGTATTCTCAAGACATAAACAGTGAATCTTCTCCATGAGGTGCTCAACTGGCTTTCATGGGAGTTCAGGGTAATCAGTTCTTAATGGAAAAACTCAGATTCTTGTAGGATAGATCTCTATGGGCTAGAGCTAAAATTCAGGAGTAACAATATCAAAGACATTCAAATTTGAGACTGTCTATCCACAGCGCATGTGGATATGCATTCAACTTTAATGGTACCAGGCAGACTTACTTGCTTTTAAAATTTGTCAAATCTGATTTCTTGTAAGAAGTCTCCATTCATTATTAGATCTTCCTGCTTTCTTCCTTGGAACCTTGCAGTGTTCCTACTAAAGTCAATCACAATTTTTTTTATTGACTTTACTGGACCACAGCCAGGTCAAAACCCTCTAATTAACAGTGATGATGAAAAGACCTCAAGAACATAGTATGAGTAAATAAAATGGCCATGAAATGCTCTATACTGTCCTTTCACAGATCTGATGAAGTGAACTTGGATTCTTGAAAGCTTGTGCTCTCTCTATATATCTTATTTAGTTAGTCCGTAGAGGTGTGTATGTACCCTGCCTTCTGACTGGCTTTAGACTAACATGGCTAACTATTAAGGGTGTGCGAAGTTGACACTATTCGATTCGGATTCAGATTTGGATTCGGCCCAAATCAGGGACAGTGATTTGATTTGTTGATTCGGATCACTGTCCCTGATTCGATTTGGCCAAATCCGAATCTGAATATTTGATGCTGATTCAGAGAATCAGCGATTCGGACATAGACACAGCTTTAAATGTTTTTTTCTACATACCTTGAGGTACCAGTGCAGCTTGTGAATGCTGCAATGCTGGGGCACATGGAGCTGACCCACTTCTGGGTCAGCTGGAGAACATGCTGGGGGCCCCCCACCATGCCTCCCCAGTTCAGCGATTGGCCATGGAGGGGCCCCGGGTGCCCCCTCCCCAGACCCAGGAGGCACCAGTCGCTAAGATGGGGGGGCATGGGGGGGGACCCAGGACATTCCCTGGTTGACCAGAAGTGCTTCTGGTCCACTTCTGCGTCTGCTGCCAAGCACACTGGGGAGCCCCCCATGCTCCTGTGGGATGCTCCATGTGCCCCAGCATCACAGTGTTCACGAGCCGCCTTCTACCTAGAGGTATGTAGAAAAAACATTTAAAGCTGTGTTTGTGTCTCAATTTCTGAATCTTTCCAAATCTCTCTGAATTGATTTGGAGAATTCTGATTCAATTCAGAGAGATTAAAGGGTCCTCTGATTAGATTCAGAGATTTGGCCACCGAATTGGGCCAAATCTCCGCCAAATCAAATCAGGGACCAAAACTTTACACAGCCCTACTAACTATCTCTCTCTGGGTGTGTCTACATATGCATTAATGCACTGTTTTTGCTGCGCTTTAAGTTTAGTACCTCTAATATGAGGTACTAACTAAATGTTCAGTAATCAATGCTACTGCACATTATCACCAGCACACAGTCTTTTTATGACACTTAATGTATAGTAGACTAATTCTACTGCACATTGGTGAATTAGCCTGGCTTTTGCTGTGATTAACTAATGTGCAGAGGAATTAGTCTACTGTGCATTAAATGTCTCATGTAGATGTGCCCTCTTTCAGGAAAGAAAAACCAGGCCCTTTGCTTTGTCTTAATTACTTGTAAACAAAGAACTAGAACCTTTCTTGAATATAGTTGACACAAAGTGATCAGAATGCTGTCCTAATCAGGTCACTCACTGGTGGTGTCCCCTTTGTGGCTTAAAATTTGCTGTCTCAGCTCTCTACTTCCCCCATACCTCTTCACACCAAATCCTCCCATAGGGAAAATACCAAGAAATGAAAAGGGGCAAGACTGGAAGTCCTGTAATAACCCACTTGGGTATGCCCCCCACATCTACATTTGTCCCTTAGCCTGCTCATAGACAGCTTGGTATGTTTTCCTGCTGGAAAAAACAGTATAGGAAAAATGTCACTTTTTAAGAGAATACATCCATTCTGATAAAAATTCTTATCTTAAACCAAAACTGTCATTTCAAACTGAAATTCTAAAACTAGAAAATTTTCATTTTATTTCAAAATTCAATATCATATGCATGTAATTAAAGGAGGAAATTACAGGTTATCAAGACAAAACAACAATTTTCCCCACTCTGAATAATTAATTGTTTGTTTTGGAAGTCAACATACATTTTTTTGGAAGCTTTCATTCTGCAAACATTTTTTGCTATTTCAATCTTCTGTTCTGTTCCAATTTGAAACAAAAATAAGTCTTGAAATTTCAAAATGTCTCCTCATCACTTCTAGCTGTTTCTATTATGTATTTGCCCTAACTAATATGACCCCAAAAAACTCCTTGTGTATAGAATTTAACAAATAGCTAGGTAAGCTGTTCTGGTTTTTGTTCACAAGGAGCCTGCATTTTCTCTGACTGACAGGAATGGGAAATTTGCAATGAATTTTAGTAGGAACAAGATCTTGCCTGAGGGCTGTTTTCATGGACGAGTCCTGGGCTTTATCACAACCCATTCAAGTTGAATTCATTTAATTTCACATAGAATATATGTATGATGGCTACTCCATGAAAGAAGCTTGAGGCATATTTTTTTTCCTTTTTAAGAAATCACTGTGTCAGTTTATGGGTATCTGTGGTTGTAGCTACACATTCAATTAGTATAGTGTGATAAACTCTGGTGCAGCTTGCACCGGCATTAATGGCCCCGGGATGTAGTGTCTACATGTGCTCCTAGAACCTTAGCAGTTTGAGTTGGGGTGAAGGAGCAGCAGGCTCAAGAGGTCAGCCCCGAGCTCTGGGTCATGGCATTGGGCAGCAGAGGGGCTGGCTGGGACATGAGAGTGCTCAAAGAGTGGATCTGTGTGGCTAGGCAGCAAGCAGAGGTCTGGCCCCCTGCTGCCTAGGCTGACCAGGTGCAATTTACACCTGGGTCAGCATTTACATGCGTGTATAGGCACAGTTATTTTCTTTCCCATAAGATAGTACTGTCCCTGACTGTCCCCAACAGTACTATCTTAAGGCAGTGAAACCTAGTTTGCTGTGGTATAACAGTGTCACACGTGGAGACTGTGACTCTTTACACTGCAGCAAATTAGTCTACTGTGCAGTGAAGCACATGTGTTGGTACACCCTGGCCAT